TGCTGCTGCTGCTGCTGCTGCTCACTGCTACTGCCGCCATCACCGCCATCCCCACTACTCATGCGGCTGTTGCTGCTACTGATGCTGCGCTAACACCCACCAGCTACCTTTACCAGCACCATTGCTGATATCAACGTTGATGTTGCTATTGCTGCATTTCTTCTTCTACCGCTTATGTGCTGCTGTGGGATCAAGGGGTTCGCAAGCTGAGCGTCGCAGGTCTTCCTCCAGCTGGGCCATGTTGCTAGTTCCCAGTAGCACCTCGGTTTTGCAGGGCTGCGAACGTAACAACACAGGAAAAACAAGTTTAGAGAAAGCAAGGAACCTGTAATAGTATGTTTAAGCATGCTGAAAAACAATACATAGAAGATTCAGGACAGAACCCGCAACTTGACGATTGTTGCAAACGACGACACCAGCACGAGGGTAAAAACATAAGCCGCGGAAACAGTGGAACTAAGGCGGACAAGAGCCCCAACATGCACAGCATCAAGACGGTTGCGCAATGAGTGCACACACCACAGCCAACATGCAGTGCAACAGCAGCAATAGCAATATGACGCTGCCGCCGTGGCCGCGGGCGCTTCACCACCGCTATCTTTGGCAGCAAAACCTTAGCCTTAGCAGCAGCAGCACCACCACCACCAACCACCACCGCAACGACTGCCACATTCGCCACAACAATGACGACGACAACACAACTGACGACAAGTACTAGAGCAAAACAAAACCCAGCAACAAGACCAACAAAAAGGTTAAACATAGAACAAAGCCGAACAACACGACAACACCACCCATGACCACCACTGTCACTGCCACCCCAACCACAACCAGCACCACCATGTTTCGGAGCCTGCACGAAAACGAGGAGTTCAGGAACTAAGGTGTAATTACAGAAATGCACAGTCCGTCTATATAATAAGTTGGCACCGGCCTCTAGCAGCCAGAATCTGCTAGAGTGGAGTTTCAAGGTGACCTTGAGACACGATCATCAAGGCACGATTGTCGACCAGCAAGCGCGCAACTTCAATTCGGCCGCTTGCAGAAGCGACTGCTCTTGTCTGCACAGGCCTCTGCGAGACCATGGCCTTCTGCAGAATCAATCATCGGGGCAGCGGAGCCGTCATTGTCAAAGTCTTTGTGAGCACTGGCCTTCTATGCATCAAGTGAGCTACTGCAACGTGACCGGGGTAGGAAGTGTCCATCAAAGGCAGTGACTGTTGTTGGCAGAAGCCTTGCTAGAACTTGCGGGCCACAGTTGGCAGCATCATCAACAGACTGCTTCCATGAAACAGTCGTTGCCTGGACCGTGTAGGCAACCTGTGCAGCCGATGAAGCTGCTGCAATGAACTAATGCCGCTCCATTCTGCCACAGGTATGCCTGCCATCCGCTCCTGTGAGAAAATCTGCCGCGCGTTGTCGTGAGAATCAGTTCTCCACATCATGATGAACCACGAGCCAGAACTGAAAGCCTGGAGAGTGCAAATTGACTGTTAGTCCTGCTAGTGCTTTTACTACTTAAACCCAGGTCATACCAGAATCGGAATTCATGAATGGACCCTAAACTCAACCTTCTGCTCAGACACCGTCGTGCAGCCACGGCGGCTGCGGCACCATCGGAGGCTAAGCTCCTGCTAACACGCAGGCACCCAAATTCTCCGGGCTCCCTTCAGCTGAGAAATGCAATGCTGAGGACCCTGTGTTCAAGGGCCCGTACAACTGCATTCCTGCAAACAAATTTTGAGGCACCGAACGGCGAATGTTGGCATTTGTTCAGACCCATCGCTGTTGCACACCTTCCAGTCAAAGTATGCGCTGTGGGAAAAGTTATACTGTGATAACACACCCTTAACAGACAGCGAGATTACGATGCCTGAAAGGGGCCGCTGCGGATGCCAAAATAGCTACCGGATCATGCTATATTGCGCCGTCTCAATCCTGAACACCGCCTGGAGGACCTTTTTCACAAGGGACTCGGCTGCTGCACTTACTGCCGGACCTAAAATTCCAAACCAAAACCACGTGACGTCCGTCAGGGAGATGCCCGCCCGCTTCGCGAGTGCAGAGTAGGCCGCAATGGCCTACATAGGCAAATTCTGGCGCTTGCTGGCCTAGTTACTCTACTTCCAAGCAGGAGCGTGCGATTGGACCCACGATGCCTCCACCGCTGCTTCGGATCGATAACCTTCGGTTGCCGTGAAGGAACTCCGTCAGGGACTTCCAACAACCCGTGTTGACCCAAAGAGAAGTTCCTAGATTCCCAAACAAACCTATGAGGTACAATTGGAGCGCAAAAGGTTCCAAGGGGTCCGCTCTTATACGGGGTCTATGCATCTGAGGCACCGACTGTGCCTTATAATACCAACCCGAAAGACAACCCCTGCAAGCTATTTTAGGAGAAGATTTGCCTGCCTACTTCGCCACACACACTCTGAGTTCTACGTGTCCTCCCCTCAACCCTGAAACCCGAAAGCTGAAAACCGACGTTCTCCAACAGCTTCACTCT